TTATGCGATGGTCAGACTTCTTCGTGAAAGCTCTGGGTATGAAGTTCATCGTGTCCCTCGAGCAGAGAGAGTTCATTGGGCAACTCTTGCACGTTGCAGGGACGAATGGAGACGTTACTGGCGCCCGCTCGAGGAACTCGATGATCAACGGGAGCACAGGTGATACAGGTGATTAGAATTCATAAAGAGCTAGATGTACATAGCTTCGACCATGCACTTTCCTCAAGCTATTGGACCGCCTTCGTAGACGACGACTTCGAAGAGATGGCGAATCTATGGGAATGGATGAAATGCAGAAACTGCAAAAATCGACGACCAGATAGAACTAACGCTCAGCAGTACCTTCTTTAGTGCCCAGCGAGAAATGACGGTTCCGCGGGATGTGCAGACCCTACGGTTCGGGATGGAAGTCAAAGGCGTAGTGTATCCCACGATCTTTACTTTGAAGAGTTAAATCTGAACCACTGAATACCATCTTTCCTGGTTCCAACGGTTCCACTCTCATTCATTTTCATCTGGTCTGCGGGTGCACGTATAGGTGCAGGTATACGGCATCCATGAATCTTCATTATATTTACAGCAATGACAGCGCTATACGGAAAAAATACTACAATGTTAACACATAAAAAAAGCAACAAATGTGGTAACGACAGAATGTCCGTAAAGCAAGATCGCCATGGACAAGGCAGTATTGACAGAGCAGTTGAACTAGTCTCAGGACTGAGCGGTTCCCTTTGGCATAGGGATACTCCTAGAGTTGATGGCCGGTTTGGGCTTTGGTAACTCGATGGCCAGCTGACCCTCGTCGGTAAGGCTGGATCGTATCTGCTCAACGTCGACTCCTTCTGGAAGGGTCCATTGACGAAGGAATGATCTGTAAAATGAGATATTCAGTGTATCGCAATTAGAAAGGATTGGTCCCAGAGATTTGGGGATGAAAGACTTAGTATAATGCGAGTCCTCTTTGACTTCTTGTTTACCCTCTACGGTTAGGGTTCGGCCATCGATGTTCACTTTGAGTTCATCTGGTCCGAATTTCGAAACATTCAAGCGACTGTAAACTTTGACCCGTCATCGGTAACCTGCAAAGGTTCTCTTTGAAGAGTGATGAATAGGTAAAAGAGGCAGAGTGCCCATGAAACTATGAAGTACCTATGCCCATTTGACCCATAACGGCTTTCTTTTCCTTCTTCCCCCTTGCTGGGGAAGAAGCAGGTGGTCTCACCAAGAGGGCTGAGGGCGTCGTCGAGTTCGCTGAAGACCTTGTCCAGTACACCTGGTAGACGAGCGTTGCGAAGAACGTAGATAGCCATCGTTCAAGCTCAGAAAAGTCAGACTCGAATGACTGGAGTCACCATCCACGCAGGCCACTTATATTGGTTTCGGAGAGATTACTCCGACTAGGGAGGTCGTTCAGGACGTGGAGCGCTTTTTGAAAACGGTTTTTGCATGATGTGGGGTCACGTGCATGGAGTACCAAACTGGTGTTCATTTTTCCTGAACGCCTCTGGGAATGCCAAAAATGGAGTGAAAAAGAAGTCCATGGAAACCGACTGTTTTTGAGCCTGAATGGGCTCTAAATCACTCCTAACTTTGGCCAGTTGCTGCCTATAGGGTCCTTATAAAGGTTGTACTGGTATCGATGAGAAAAGTAGTCGCCAATGGGGTCCTACTTGTGGCACGTAGTTAAGAGTCGACGGCTAGTTGGAATGGGCTCTTAAGCAATCGAAGTGGTAACTGCCCAACGATCGGATGGCCTAGTGGATAGCGTGGAGGATTCTCAAGCAGACGGTGGGGATGGGGGATGGTGGTTCGACTCTTCCCTCGCTTGCACTGTTTTCGCATTTCTTTCATTTCCGTTTTTGTCCGCTTTTCCATATACGTCTGTTAATGAATTTTACTCGGATATCTGCCATTTATAGGCACATCCTAAATAGTTATACCCCGTAGTCGGTGCTATTCAGCAATTTCGATTTCACATACCATTAAGCAAGAACTTGTCTGAAAGTTGAGCTTTATATGTTATTCGGTGCCCTGATCACGACTATGGCATTTACTTTCAGCTCCAGTGCCATTTATCTCCAATTTGGAGCCACGTCTTTCTCCCACTGGAGTCGCTATGTACATTCGTTTGAGGGACTTGCAGGGCCATTCTGACGCCAGATTGGGTTGACGTCAAGAATAAGTGTCAGAATCGTGATCAGGACATATCGATTATCCTATACGGCCTTTCGGCCAAAAAATTTTTTTGACTTTTTTGGTTGATGACGCGACGCATTTGGGCCCGATCAGTGATGAACCGGAGATCCCACATATGGAGGAGCTGCCGATGAACGTCAGCGAGACGTTGTGAGCCGCCGGGCAGCCCGTATCGCGCGATTTGAGTGCTCATCAAGGTCCATTCAATACAAATGGGCATGGGCGATGGTGCCGCAGAACAAGTGAAAAAGCCATCATCTGGAATGTCGATCGACCCCAGTCGACGGCTCGAACTCAAATCCGAAGAGTCGCCGCTCGCCCCCCCTACAAGAGGCAGATGAACTCACTTCGATTTCGCTCCACTTTCTAATCAATGCCGCCCGCTGAGAAATGATGACTATTTGTTCTTTTTTCGATGGCGTTTATGGTTGTTGCTAGTTTTTTGTCTCCGTACCACTGAATGAGGGTTTCGATAACCAGCAAAAGTACGACTTCAACAAAGTGACTCTTGATGCAATAACCCTGCAGCGAGAGCTCAAAAAGTATCAAAAAAGATTTTTTTGGCCCGATAGTATCTGGCCTATAGGGGTAATCCGATGCCCTGATACACAGAAAATTCTGACACTTTTTCTTGGACGTCACCCTCCACTCTGCGTCAGAATGGCCCTGCAAGTCCCTCAAACGAATGTACATAGCGACTCCAGTGGGAGAAAGACGTGGCTCCAAATTGGAGATAAATGGCACTGGAGCTGAAAGTAAATGCCATAGTCGTGATCAGGGCACCGAATAACATATAAAGCTCAACTTTCAGACAAGTTCTTGCTTAATGGTATGTAAAATCGAAACGCTGAATAGCACCGACTACGGGCTATAACTATTTAGGATGTGCCTATAAATGGCAGATATCCGAGTAAAATTCATTAACAGACGTATATGGAAGCGACAACAACGGAAAATAAAAAATGCAAAAACGTGCAAGCCGAGGGAGTCGAACCATCACCCTCCCCATCCCACCGTCTGCTTGAGAATCCTGGCCAACCTAGTGCCACTAGGCCATCCGATCGTTGGCGCAGTTACCACTTCGATTGCTTAAGAGCCCATTCCAACTAGCCGTCGACTCTTAACTACGTGCCACAAGTAGGACCCATTGGCGACTACTTTTCTCATCGATACCAGTACAACCTTTATAAGGACCCTATAGGCAGCAACTGGCCGAAGTTGCGAGTGATTTAGAGCCCATTCAGGCTCAAAAACAGTCGGTTTCCATGGACTTCTTTTTCACTCCATTTTTGGCATTCCCAGAGGCGTTCAGGAAAAATGAACCACAGCAGTTTGCCTACTATGCAACGTTGACCCCATCATCGCAAAACCGTTTTCAAAAAAGGCGCTCCCACGTCCTGACGACCTGCTACGTAATGTCGCGGTTCCACGCAGATACCTAAACATTTCCACGGTTACTGCTGTTGGTGGCGCAATAACACCTGTACTGTAATTAATAATAATGTAATGTTTCTGGGCATTTTATGAATAATTTCTCCAATAATTGCGACTATCATTCCATTGTTCAGTGTGTTCGCTTTAATATTGCACATTCCAAGTATGTGTGTAGTGGTATGTGTAGGTCCAAGTATGTGTGTACAGTAGCTGAAGTCAGTGTTTATTTTGTAAATATTATTTTTTTGCTGCTGAATAAAAATTGTGTACCTCCAGTACGCTTTCGGATTAGCCAAAGATCAAAAACGAGAGGGAATGCCGGGTGCAGTTCAGCCAAATAACACATGCGAGGACTACGTCATCTCTTTGTGGGAGTATGAACGTGGCGCAATATACTACGCTCCGAAGATGTATATCAGAGTCGACGTGTACCCCCTTAGTGAACCGAAAGAGACGCTGTATGCTTGTCATGCTTGCCTGCAAGATTGATGCTCGCAATGTGCGAGATAGACATACGGTAGCTTCAGTTTCAGCTGAGAGCGGGATCCTCACTCAAACGAAAGCGAATGCAGAAAGCAGCTGTCGTTTCAAATGAGCCGCTTTTCTCTTTGGCCAACATTACTCACGTGGCGCCGATTCATGTCATACTCATGTGTTCACAACTGAAGGAGGCTCAGCCAATACGAAACTTGTCTCTCACTCATTAGGATTGTCCGGAAAGGAAATACAAGGAGATCATCATCGACGTGAAGAGAGGGGTCCGACAGGGCGACACCATCTCGCCGAAGCTATTCAGCGCCTCTCTCGAAAACGTCATGCGTCAACTGGAATGGGAAGACATGGGAGTGAAGATCGACGGTCGGCAACTACACTATCTCCGCTTTGCTGACGACATCGTTTTTATAAGGTTGACCGGAAAGTTTCCCGCCACGTGTTTGATCGCACCATATTAGCCTTGCATGTATGTTTATGACTTATCGTGGGGTGTGCATGAAGCACGCAAGAGACTCTTTCACATCACTACCTCACACTCACCCAGCTTGCATGGATTCCAAAATGCCGCCCAAGTTTCAACCCGACAGGATGCACCTGAGGCACTGTCTTCTTTTCCTTCATCAGTCTGGCTTAAACGCAAAGGAAGCCCAAGCCAAGATAGTGGATACATATGGCGCTGACGCTATCTCTTACGACACGTGCAAGACCTGGATGGCCAAGTTCAAGAAAGGAGATTTTTCTCTCCAAGATGCTCCAAGGTCCGGCCGGCCGATGGAGTTAGACTTGAAGTTGCTGCAATCCACCGTGGAAGAGGATCCGTACGCCACTTGCAGCGATGCTCGGCATGCCCAATCAACTGTTGAATCTGGGCTGGAGAAGATTGGTAAAGTCGCAAAGCTTGGCCGTTGGATTCCTCACCAATTCAATGGCGGGAAACTTTCCGGTCAACCTAATTTATAACACCGAACATCGAGCAAGCGGAACGAATGCTGGCTTAATTCGACTGCGCGTGTGGAAAAATCGGTCTACGGCTGAATCTAACGAAGACGATGTTCATGAGAAACGGATTGGTTTCTGATGCCCCATTCACTCAACGGAACGACCATCTCTGAATGCTCTAGCTATGTGTACCTAGGTCGTGAAATCAATATGATGAATGACTTAGCACCAGAGCTGAGCAGGAGGAAGCGAGCGGCTTGGGGAGCCTTCAAGAACATCGAGGGAGTAGCGAAGAAGACGAAGAACACCAAGCTCCGTGCCCACCTCTTCGATTCCGCGGTCCTTCCTGCCTTGACGTACGCCTCAGAGACTTGGACTCTACGAAAGCAGGATGAGCATGCGGTCGGCGTTATTCAACGCGCCATCGAAAGGGCGATGCTCGGAGTTTCCCGCTACACGCAAGTGAGAGAGGGAATCCGGAGCTCCGCACTCCGCCACGATCGAAGATCAGAGACGCCGCCGCATTTGCCAAGGTTTCGAAGATCAGGTGGGCCGGACACGTCATGCGTTTCGAGGACCCGCTGGACCAGAGCGATCACCGACTGGATTCCACGGGATGTCAAGCGAACGCCTGGACGACCGCTTATGCGATGGTCAGACTTCTTCTGAAAGCTCTGAACGTTTCTATACGCAGGACGTGTTTATGGGTCCTTTTTCTGGATATGCCCTTGTAACCCTTGGCCAGCTACAAATGCAAAATCGATAGTAATTGCAGCTTGTGAATGACGAGAAGAAGTTCGCCGTTTCATTGGATGTTTCGCAGTTTCGTCCAGAACAGTTGAATGTGCACTTGGAGGGGCGTGAGCTGACCATCGAAGGCAAGCAGGAGCACAAATCAGAGAACAGCGCCATGCATAGGTAAGTCCTACCTTCTACTTCATTGGGCAGATGTGCATTAGATAGATATTGATCGTTTTGCTTGTTCCAGGTCATTCACCCGTAAGTGGTTGCTGCCTGAGAATGTCGACCTGGAGGCAATTCGAACTCAGCTTGATGACAAGGGTCATTTATCCGTGGAAGTGCCGAAGCGTATAGGGCCAAAGCGTATCGAAGGTCAAGCGCAGAAAAAGTCTATCCCTATAATGGCCGCCCCTAACAGGTGAATCTTAGTACGGTTCATAGAACCTAGATATTTTCCACGGTTACTGCTCAGGTGGTTAGTTTCGCTGGTAGAAATAATTTGTGGGTACTGCATGCTATTTTTCCATTATTTCGTTTTTCGCTTTAGTTCTGTACATAAAGTATGTGTATGCAGTGTATATTTGAATAGTCAGTGTTTATTTTATGTTCACTATTTCATGTGCAATAAATGGAATTAAATTTGTAATTAATTCGTTTGTTCCGATATGTTCTGGGTAAACCAAGACATTGACGAGAAGGGAATGTCGTGCAGCTCAAGAGGTTTACATACAGGGGGGGGGGAGGGGCAAAAAAAGTCACTTTGACCGAGTCACATATCAGCAAAGTTTTCGCAGCCCAGACAGAGGACGTGGATACGAGTACCAGGGCGGAAGATACCCAAGATGTTCCTCTATAAGCAGGAGCTGGCTCTCGCCCATCACCTTCATGTACACCAAAATATGAAGTCATCTCCAGTCGCAGCCTGACTTTGGAATTCATGTCACCTCCAAACAGCTGCGAAACTTCTAGTGTGGAGTCACCCATGGATAGCTACCTGGAGACCAGTACTCTCGATCTGGAAGACCTCCAACATCGAGCAGCTCCGACAACGTCGCTACGGTCTAGGACATCATCTTCACCGCAGTCGCCAAGGCGCGGGTTGATGGTATGGACCGGACGTACCTGGAATGGAAAGACCAATATTTTCTTCGTGGACCCGGACTGAAGGTGAGCGCTGGCGGTTACATCGAGCAACTCGAGAAGAATATCCTCCCCACATGTCGTCGCCCGTACCTTCTTGGAAACTTTGTACTGCTACAGGATTGGGTGACACCACATGGAATCGAAGGGCGTTGGAAAAACTCTCGCCTACTTGGAATGGAAGGGCGCTGAGAACCTGGTGAAGATAAAATATTAGGTCTTGGCAAAAATAGTGACCGTTTTCGCACCTGCTATGTTCCACTGATCATAATTCATTGAAAACTTAGGCAAATATAGTAATTATCGTTCGGAAGCACATTTTTCAAGCTATCGTACAATTTTTTTCCCATTTCTCTGCCACCATTTCTTCTACGATTTTGGGTCACCCGCGAAGATGTTGTCAAGACGCGAAATCCGACTCATCATGCTTCACGAGTACAAACTCGGCCGTAATGCTGCGGAAGCAGCTAGGAATATCACCAACGCATGGGGCGAAGGTACTACAAATGAGCGCACCACGCGTAGGTGGTTCGACAAATTCCGAAATGGAGACTTCAACCTGGAAGATCAGGAGGGACGCGGTCGGCCATCGGAAGTTAAAGACGACGAATTGAAGCACGATAGAAGCTAATCCAAGAGGGACCCATCTACACATTCACATTCAGGTCGATACCTTGACGGCGCGCGGCGGCTCTCGACACTGCTCTGCCGGTATTCTCAGTATTCGCTGTCTCTTCTACTTCTTGGATTTCCTTCTGCTGTGCGTCTGCCTTCTACTACTACTACTACTAAGGGCTCGTGTCCATCCCTGTGGCGAGGGGTGAAAGTGTTTTTTACTACGTGTTCGCCACCGATTTCGGTAAATTTTGTTCGTTTATTGGATCGTAATCGATAGATCAACGGTTTGTATTCCGCCGGCTGATCATCCTAGTTCGCTACAAATTTTATAATGATTTCTCCGTCTCGTTCGTCATCAGTTCCAGTGAAACGTTCGCGTGTGGTTGTCTCGCCTCAAGTTTCTATCTCGGCTCTGGATAAGCTGCAGAAACTACCGTTTCGACCATGATCTCCCGCCTTATATGAAGATGGTTATTGATGTATTGGTTGACACAAGGCGTGAGCTCCTGGATATTGTGAGAAAAAATGACGCGATCCAGGAGGAGAACCGCAAGCTCAGGGAGGAAAACTCTCTTTTGAAATCTAAATTAGAGGATTTACTTTCTGAGAAGTCTACTCAATCGCATTCTGTTTTTTCGAATGGTGTTACTCAATCTCCTCTTGATCATACGAATGATGTTTCTGATGATCCTGACATGAAACGATCTATTGTTGTCTCGGGGGTTCCTGAATGCAAATCGGATAGGTCTCGGGAGGCAGTAAATCACGACGTTTATTGTATCAATTCTTTATTTGACTTTTTGAATGTCGAATGCCTTCCTGTCTCGCTCTACCGAATGGGTAAAAAAGATCCACATAGGCCTAGGCTTATAAAAGTGATTTTACCAAGTAGCAAATTCCAGAAAGAGGTTTTACGTCAGGCTCCTCGCCTGCGCTTTTACTCTCATAAAGGGGTATTCATACGTCCCTCACTGCCCTTGGAAGAGAGGAAGCGCAGGCGTGAAGCATGGCTTAGTCGCCATAATAACTCTCAAGCCAATGATCGCAAATGTTTTGCCTGTCTCGGAAAACAACTAGCTGTTCCTCGGTTTTGGGCCTCTTGTCTTCTGACCAATATACGTTCTCTTCACAAAAACGCTATTGCCTTAGCGTATTCGCTAACTAAATTTGATTATAGTATTGTGGCTATAACTGAGACTTGGCTCAAATCAAACATCATAATGGAGTCACTTTTGGGAGACCTTTGTTCGAATTACGTCATTTTCAGGTGTGATAGAAAAAGAAAAAAGGGTGGAGGTGTGGCTTTACTTGTGAAGCAGACATTATTTCCTAGCTTGGTTTTCTTTGAGAGCGTAGTGGATGGTTATGAGATCCTTGCTGTTGATCTTTATAGTTCGGATTCTTCTTTTCGGATTATTTTAGGCTATAGAGCCCCTAAGTGCAGTTCAGAAAAAACTACGCAGATGACTAAATGTATAAGTGATATCACTTCATGTCAAGCCACATGTCTCCTTATGGGGGACTTCAACTTTTCCGATATAGTGTGGTCTCCTAAACCCTGTGGTCAGTCAGCTCAATCCCAGACGTTTCTTAACATGCTTCTCAATCATCACTGCTCGCCCTCCAGAGGCCCATCCCACTTCTGTTGAGCAATTCTCATCAAAACCTCCTTATTCCGGGAACACTTCAACCTGCTGAATACGAAATTAGATACGTCGGTGCGCTCGAGAGGTCTGTTAGTTATATATTCAACGAAAAATGGCAATGAACATGACAACAACAGTGAGAGACGTTAGAGTTGGTCTAGGTTTGATGACTTTGAGCAGCAGCATGAGGAAGGCGTTCGCGCCAGACGGATCTAATATTCGTATACACAGGAAGTGTTCCCAGAATAAAGAGGCTTTGATGAGAATTGTCAGCAGGAGTGGGATGGACTTCTAGAGGTCTGTTAGTTATATATTCAAAGGAAAATGGCAAGTCAGGAGGAAGAGGAACGGGCTGAGGGCTGATCCTTGGTGTACCCCAACCGTGATGTTTACCTCCTTCGTCAAGCCGTGCGGGGTGCGTACAGCTGCTTTAGCCCCATCGTACATATCCTTCACTATGGAGATCAGGTGCTCCGGAACGTTACGTTCTCTGAGCGCTCTCCAGAGTACAGGCCGAGGCAGGCGGTCGAATGCCTTCTCAAGGTCCAGGAAGGCTAGGTAGCAGGGTCGCCGCTTCTCTCGGTACTTCTCCATCAGCTGTCTGGCGATGAAGATGGCATCGGTGGTGGACCTCTCGGGCATGAAGCCGAACTGTTCCTGCGAGATAGGGACAAGCTTCCCTCAGCCTAGTGTTGACCAGGCGCTCGTACAGCTTCATGGTATGGGGAGTCAACTTGATGCCGCGGTAGTTGGAGCACTCCGTCGCGTCCCCTTTCTGTGAAGATGGGGACGATTGTGCTGCTCCTCCACGCATCCGGCATCCTTCTTTCAGCCGTTACCTTGTTCTTGACAGTGAGTGCGAGCCAAGCTCACCCCATGCTTCTCCAAAGGCCTTCAATTACCCCAGTGTCTCACCCATTCCTCTCCAAGGGCCTTCCATGCCTCTATCGGTACCCCATCTGGACCCACTGCTTTCCCAACATTCATTCTTCCTAGCTCTCGGCGGAAGGGATTCTTTGCTCAGTGAATAATCTTACTATATTCAAATCGCTGAGTCTGCGCTGAAGGCGTGTATGATTGGTACGAAAGTCATAGCGCGCGTCCCAAAAGGCAGCGTGGGGTTGGTTGCAACAGGTGATGTCGAAGACATGAAGGAAATATTAATGATAAGTTACAGGAAGCGGCTAACAGCTATGCAGTCTTGTAAGGGCCATGAGGACCCAGGCCCACATGAATCATAGCGCGCGCCACAGCAACAGTGAGAAATGGATTCTAGCAGGTGATTTGGGGGATGTGACAAGGATATTACTGGCAGCTTCCAGAAAGGGGTTACAACTGAGACGGCTGAGAAAGAGCTTGCCATCGTTTTCGAGGATGTACAGGGAGGGAGCTCGTAATTGATATCGCCTTCTAATTTGGTTGGCATGAAGGCTATGATGACGGGAGCACTGTAAAAAGACTCTGGGAGGGGGGAGCGCACTGATACAGCCCATCTTGTTGCCGCACCATGTACCCACCTCGCACATGGCAATTACAGCATGTCCTGAAGTTGACAAAGAGCTGTATGTTGAACTCGATCATGCACTTTTCGCAAGCTATTGGGTCGCCTTCATAGACGACGACATTGAAGAAATGAAGTCCGTGGAATGGAAGAAGTGCAGAGACTGCAGAAATGTCATAATCGGAGGT